CGTCCGCAACAACACGCAACGCGCCTTAAAGCCAAGTTTACACAGCTTAACTTAGAACTGGAGATTTCGTGTGCAAATTAGTGCGACAATGGTTAGTGTTATGCAGCAGGGGAATATATACTCGCCTCTTATTGCATAAGTGTGGGTATATGTGTGTGTGTGGCTTTGTCTTGTGTGCAACAGTGTGTGGAAAGTGTAGAAAAAAAGCACAATAGCCACCAACTTGGATGTGTTTTTATATATTTAATGGCTTCATTTTACAAACGAATGGTATAACATTCCTTAAAGTCGATGATTTAATAGTTACACTAGTCAACAATTTTTTTTGTGCTGAAATTTGTTTTTTTTACAATACAATCCAATTGCAGGACAGTTTTTGGAAAAAATCCTTACATACCATAGAGCCAATGATTTAATAGTTACACTAGTCAACAAGATTTTTTTTTGCTGAAATGTGTTTGTTTTTTGTTTTATGCAAAACTATTTCAGGATTGTTATTGCAAAAAAAAATTACATTCCTTAGAGTCGATGATTTAAAAGTTACACTAGTCAACAAACTTTTTTTTAGGTGCTGAATTTTGAATGGCAGGTTCGTTTTTGAACAAAAATCTTATCTTCGAAGATTATAGCTTTGTCTTGGAAAATCATCTATGAAATTGTGGAATAAAAAAATTTGAATGAAAAAGTTGAACAATAATACCATTTTAATAGGATTTTATAATATGACAGGCGAGATGCCTTCACAGCTGCAACTTTTGACGTTTTTTTTATGAAAAGAGTTTAACTTGAAAAAATCAAATTTTGAGTTAATGGTCAAATAAAAAATATAAAAAACTACTAAATATTTTATCAAATAAAAGTATTTAAAACTATTTTTAGTAACTATACGTTCCGGACGCTTGAAGTATGACTTCGGTATTTTTCACGAAAAAATTAACTACAAATATAACCGAAACTACATATCGTTACCTAAAACGCGAAGTAACGTAACAACACTTTTCATAAGTTTAAGGCGAAGGAAAAACATTATAATAGAAACCACTCCTACCGAGAGAAAAGTTGATTTTTGGTTATAATATGGTTATATCTGACAGCCGAAAGTTTTCACAACATATCTGATGTAGTGAATCGTAAGCAATAAAAAACTCTATTTAGAATTTTTTGGATTATACATTGTTTTGCATTTATAAAAAATTTTATAGCAAAAAAGGGTATGAATAGATGTTTATTCTGAACATTATGTTTGTGTATATATGTATGTGATTGTTGCGTTGTTTTGGAAAATATTCTACACTTTTTTATTGGACAATATAGCTTGCAAATAAAAGAATTTTCTATACAAGTACATGATTTTGATTATTCAGTTTGTATGACAGCTATACGCTATAGTGGTCTGATCTCAACAAGTTCTTCAGAGATTGTAGCAATGCCTTTGACAATACTTTGTGCCAAATTTCGTGAAGATATCATGTTCAAAAAGAAAGTTTTCCATACAAGGACATGATTTTGAACGTTCTGTTTCTAGGGCTGCTATATGCTACAGTAGTCCGATCTAAATAATTTTCTCAAAGATTATAGAAATGCCTTTCATAATACTTTGCACCAAAATTCGTGAAGATACCTTGACAAACAGAAGAGATTTTCATACAAAGACTTAGGTTTTGAACGTCAGTTTGTATGACAGCTATGTGCTATAGTGTTCCGATCTCAACAAGTTCTTCACAAATTGTAGCAATGCCTTTGATAATACTTTGTGCCAAATTTCGTGAAGATATCTTAACCAATAAGAAAGTTTTTCATACAAGAACATCATTTGAAACGTTCAGTTTCTATGGCACCTACAAGTTATAGTAATCCGATATCGGCGGTTTCAACAAGCCAGTAGCTTATAGATGCGAAAAAGACTGTATGCAAAATTACAGACTGATATCTCAAAAACTGAGGTGCTAGTTCACGTATATGCAGACGAACATGGCTTAATCGATTAAGCTCGTCAAACAGATCATTTCAAATTTCAGCCAACATTTTTTTTTTTTTAATTCACCAAGAAATAATTTTAAAAGATATTTTAGGAGCAATTTTGAGTCCCTAAGTCAAATTTACTTATTTATCAATATTAACTAATTTTTTTTAATATTGAATCACTGTAAGGGTTAGTCCACCTGACAAACGTTGAGCATAATCAGAAAATAAGCCAAATTGTTTTTGTAAATTATATTCTTTATACCAAAAAGTTTCAACATCCTTTAAAAGTTACGTAATTTTACTTACAGAACTCCCTCATCAGTATTGCCCTACTCGCGCTGGTCGCATGCACCCACGCTGATGTATCACATCTGTCACGCACCTATTTACCGCCATCGACGGCATCCTCATCCCGTACTGTTACTTTCAATCCAGCCACAGGCTATTCAAGCGGTGGTGGTGTAGGTTTTAGCAGTGGTGGCAGCAGTCTCGGCGGTCATCGTTACACAGCGCCCGCCGTTTCGCACAGTGCACCCTCCTTACAAGTGCACAGCATATCGAAGAGCTCCGGTGGTCATTCTGTGCTTGCCGCGCCATCGCGTAAATACCTAGCTCCCGTTCAAGTGCCGGCTCCAGTGCAACACAGTGCTACTGGTTATAGAGCACCTGCAGTGCATACGTCTTCTTATCGCGCCCCATCTGCCACATACATTGCTCCAGCAGTACAAAAGCCAGCCGTTGTTCAACACCATGCTACTGTTCAACAATATCGCGCACCAGTTGTATCACAAAGTGTCCCTTCGGCCACTCAATATCGTGCGCCTGCTCCTGTCCACAGTGCAGCAGTTGCGGTAAATCATGGTTCGTATAGAGCTCCTTACTCTTACAACGCTCCGGCACCACTTGTATCACAAAGTGTCTCGTCAGCCACTCAATATCGTTCGTCAGCTCCTGTTCACAGTGCAGCAGCTACGGTGAGTCATAGCTCATCGTCTGGTTCTTATAGAGCTCCTTACTCCTACAACGCTCCGGCATCAAACTTTCGTGCACCAGCGGCTCAATATCAATCGTCTGCCGCGACATATAGAGCTCCAGCCATTCAGCATCAAGCAGCCACCACATCGTACAGAGCTCCAGTTGCTCAATACCAAGCCCCTGCTACTCTATACCAAGCACCTGCTACTACATATGGAGCCCCGGCGTCACAATATCAAGCTCAAACGACTAAGTATCATGCACCCGCCGCTACTTATAAAGCACCTGTATCCTCTAATTATCAAGCTCCGACTTCCTCCTACAGCGCATCCACCACATATCATGCTCCGGCTATTTCCACAAGCAGTATTTCCAGCGGCTCATACCAAACTTCAGCTGGTCATTACAGCAACCCTGTGTACAATGCTCCAGCTAAATCCATTTCGACATCGTCATCCAGTCTTGGTACTCAATATGCGGCTAACGGTGGCTATATTTATTAAAAACTGTATTTGCTCAAAGTCTCGATCTTTTATATGTTAAATGTTGGTATTATCTCGCTTCGAATTGGTTAAAGAACAATAAACAGTTTTTATTAAACGAAACTCGATTGTATTTTTATTAACTCAAGTAACTTTTTAGTTTTCTTCTTCATTACTGGCGTAGAAACCGCTCTCGCTGTTATAACCGTGCTAAAAACAGCGCGCCAGTCGTTTCTTCTTTTCGCAAGCATTTGCCAATTGGAGATTCCAGGCGAAGCCAGGTCCTTCTCCACCTGGTCCCATCAACGGTGTGGAGGTTCTCCTCTTCCTCTGCTTCCCCCGGCGGGTACTGCGTCGAATACTTTCAGAGCTGGAGTGTTTTCGTTAATTCGGACGACATGAGGTTAGCCGCTGTCTTTTAATTCGCTCAACTATGTCAATGTCTTCGAATATGTCATACAGCTCGCAGGTCTATCGACTGTGATATTCGCCGTTGCCAATGCGCAAAGGACCATAAATCTTCCGCAGAACCTTTCTCTTGAAAACTCGTAACGTTGACTCATCAGGTTTTGTCATCGTCCATGCCTCTGGGAATAATGAGTGACTTATTGAGTTTTTGTTCGTCGTAGAGCTGTACACTCTTATCGAAGATAGCAAATATCTTCTCTGTTCTTCTTGCATTTATCTGGTCATTATATGGACCAATGTGTGAGAACTTTGAGAGTAATGAGTATGATTGATTAACATTGAAGGGGTTAACTTAATTAAATCTATGTTTGAACTAGCTTTATATGGGATGCGTCTGCTTGATCGGAGTCCACTCGAAAGCTTTAAGGAGAATACTATTGAATGTTTTTATATTTCGACGATATTAGAGCACCTTTGATCATTTGAGGGAACCACGTTGAAATAGTTTGGATTGGGTATTTTTATCTTCCTGCTTGACTTGAAGCTTTACTATGTATAAGTATCGACTAAGATTTCGACTTAAACCTTAAGCTCTTTCAATTACACTGTGGAACATTTTTGGGATTATTGTCTGGGGGGTGAGAAATTTATTTGTTAAGATGGAAAACCATGGGAAATAAGGAAAAAATTTAAAAGGTCATAAAAAAAAAACTGACACATACGAACGCCAAACCCTTTGAGGGTTTTACTATACTGACCTAGTACCATCACCCTGACTTTCTCACCCCCCAGATTAGCTGTTGTACTGTGTTATCTGTATATGTCTGCTTTTTTCGCGAGTTTTTCGTGTTAAAGAAATACGTCAAGGTATACTTAGCAGAGCCCGCTAAGATAGCTTTCCCAAGAGAGAAAGGTGGAGAAATAAGCTCGGTTTAAACTATCTTCACAACTAGTCCAAAATGCGATGTTGATTTGTAGGATGTAATCGTCGGCAGCCAGCCTTAAACTCTTACATTAAATGAGTTCCATTAGCATGAGTTCTCTCTTCATTCTCTTGAGCAAAGCTAGGCTCTCAATTGCACATTGAACATAACGAATCTTTAAAGTAATAAAAACCCAAAACCATATTCATATTTTGCTTGATATCACTTTCGTTTATTTGTCGTGTAATCGTTTGTTCGCGGCATGAAAAATTGCGTCAGCATTGAAGAGAAAATACTGAATATAATAGACAGTACAATTGTTTAGTTCCTGTGTCTGTAACGGTATTCATAACCACCATTGGCGGCATATTTAGTGCCATAGTTGGAGGAGCCAGCGGCAACAACTTCCTGAATGTTGGAAGGAGCAGCAAATTGAACTGGGGCCGGGGCTGGTGCTGGAGCAGCGTAAGTAACTTGTGGGGCCGAAGCAGCCACAACTGGTGCGGAGTAACCATATCCGGCATTGGAGGCAGCGCCAACTGGGGCGGCATAGCTGGCGTGGCTGCTAGAAGCAGCGCCTTGTCCTCCGAAACCGCCGGAGAAGCCAGTAGCTGGAGCGGAGTAGACAGCAACTGGTCTTGGAGCTGGTGCGAAAGCCGGAGCCACATGTGAGGCGGCGGCAACTGGAGCATGATGTACTTGAGGACGTGGAGCTGGAGCAGAGTAAACCACATTTGAGGCAGCTGCAACTGGAGCGTGATGCACTTGAGGACGTGGAGCTGGTGCAGCAGAGTAAGCTACATTTGAGGCAGCTGCAACTGGAGCGTGATGTACTTGAAGACGTGGTGCTGGAGCAGCAGCATAAGAAGCATGCTGACCAGAAGCAGAACCAAAACCGCCAAAACCACCCGAGGACGCGAAACCTACCTGAGGCCGTGGTGCAGGAGCGGCGTACGAAGCTACATTGTGAGATGCGGCAGCGACTGGCGCCTGGTATACCTGTGGACGTGGAGCAGCAACTGGAGCTGCGGCATGGAACGAGGGTGCAGCAGCGTAGCTAACACGTTGAGCCGATGCAGCACCGCTGCCACCAAAACCGCCTGCTGATGCGAAGCCACCCGATGGTGCCACATGACGGCTGGGAGCTGGTGCAAAGCTAGCATGAGATATGGATGGTGCAGCGTAGGAGGCGGGTGCGGCATAGCTGTTGATTGAGTTCGAAGCTGATGCCTGTGGCGGCAAATAGGTGTTGCTTAGCGCATTGGTGCTGACGCCCAACAAGGCAATAACGGTGGTGATAGCGAAGATTTTCTGCAAAGAAAAAGATGCTCGAGTTTAAAGTGCTGATATTGAGATGGCTTCCTAGAGCTGCTAGTCTTTACCATATTTTCAGCAGGACTTCTAGATTGTTGTACTGGAAATCTGAGACTGTTGATGTTTGCTAGAAATCGTGCAACTTTTATACGAGAATCTATTTAATTCGGCCAAATGAGCGATGCTTGGGATATGAGTAATAAATAGCGGTGAAAAAATAAATGTCTGCAAAAAATTTTCGGTTTCTTGTTTGAAAAGGTGTTCTTGCGTCTTTCTTCACGCAAGTATTTGGTTAATTCGAAAGTCAGTTCATTAATTAAAACGGGTTTAACCAAATATTTCTAGCCGACGAAATTAATATTATCAGCTTAAGTGAAGCGCGTATATCCAAATATCTATAAATGCTTAAATGTGTACATTCTTGACTACAGACATATGTACATGCAAGTACATTAATGCATACCCTGCAGGAAATTGCGAGCTACTTACATAAGTCGACGGCTGAGAATCAGCAATAGCTCCGTGTTGGGAAGGTTGTTAGTATGACTTTCATTCAAGCAGACCCGAATGAGTTCATCCGCCATTTCCAGAAGAGTTTTGCCTTGCGGGCTTACAAAATCTAATTCGTGCTAGAATTTGATTGAGTCGTAAAAGTTTGTTCAACAAAGTTACATTCAATGGGGAACGCTATAGAGCCATTATTAATGTCCTTTTCGTGCCTGAAGTTGGGGATGTTGATGTGGGGCAGCTTTGGTTTTCTCAAGGCGGCGGTTCGTGCCATACAGCCAACGAAACAATCAATTTATTGAAAGAAACTTTTGGTAAACTTTTGGTCTCACCTCTTAGACCGTGTGATTTAATGAAGCTGGACTATTTTTTTGGTGAGTTTTGTGAAGTTGCTTGTCCACGAAGATAAGCCCGAGGTAATTGATGCCTCCGAAGAGAATATACGGTGCGTTATTGCAGACATGCGACCTCAAATGCTGTAAAAGTGGTCGAAGAAGCGGAGAGCGAAGTAGTCTCGACCGAAATTTATTTAAGCCAGCCAAATTATTTTTAAAACCTAATGTCAAACCCATATGTTTATAATAAAGCTAAATTTTTGGCCATAACAGTAAAATATTTGCTGTTATTTTCATGAAAATCTCATGTCTAAAAATACCCTTTATGTTTTATGATTAACCTGAAGGGAATCAAAAGCTGTGCTGGGCTCACTAGGGTAGTATTCCCGCAATTTCCTACTGGGTAAATTGGCACAACCAGGCATATATAAGTATACATATGTATATAATATATAAATGCATTCGAAAAGCAATAATAACAAATAATGGGAGCCTAATTGAAGTATCAGAGTAAAAAATGTGTTTGAAGACACGAAAAGAAGAAGAAGAAGCAGCAGCAGAAGATTGGTACCTAGACTTGAAGTGAAGCTTATGCCAATTTGCTACTTACCTTGTTATTTGCATAGACATATACATAATAATTTAAGAGATTACACACACACACACGTATACATATATATACAAATATAAATAGACCAAGGCATATCGCCAGCAAGCATTGTCAAAGTCGAAGTCCAGCTTGGAGTGTTAATTAGACTTCGATCATTTGTTCTGGTCTTCGAAATTGGCGTTGGCGCGTCTTGCTGCTTAAACACAACAAATACAACAACACTTGCTCTATCAGGTAGCCAGCAGCTTGTTAACTGCTTCTGCTCTTCTTATTTGCTAAGTTTAAGTTTAATTATTTAAAATTAGTATGCAGTGTATGTATATATGTATGTATATATCTAGATTCACGACATATGAACGTGAGTGTGTATGGCACTTCAACGAAATATTTATGAACTCAACCAGCAACAACAACCATGGCCAAACTGGAATATCTATTAAACACGCGCAGAACAAACAGTAGTTGATACATTTTACTAAATTAACTCAATAGTTTCATTTTGTTTTCTTTTTTTTAAATAAACGCTGGAATTGAATTATTTTATTGTCTAAATGTATGTAGCGCCATTAGTTGCGCTTTAACGACGTGATTATAGATAGTTTATGCGTGTGAACGAAAACATGCCGAGCCGACTGTGGCACAAGCTTAGACCATATCCCAATGTTTGTTATTGTGGTTGTGTGTATTTGTCTGATAACTGTGTTAAAAGGTTGTCAATAGAGTGAGAAAATTGCATAATTTGTTTTTTGATTTATTTAAAGATTATGCGAATTATTTAATATTGTATAACAAAGGCGATATGTCGTAAAAGCGCTTGATAGATGGCGCTGAGAACGAAGTTGTTCTATAAAGAAAATTTTGTGATTAATTTGTAAGAATGGTAAATCTGAGATGATTCTTCAGTAATATTATAATAATATATACTCTATAGCCGATTGGGCTCCACAGGTGACTGGTCTATGGCGGATTTGGAGTTCGGATCTCGTACGTGACAAAAGTTTTTAACATTGGAAATTCTTTTCGGTCATCAGTCAGCATTACGAAGTCAACACGCGAAGGTATTCATGTCATTGTAGAGCTTGGCATGTAATCTAACAGTCCTTCTGAGGCTATTGGGGTCTCTATTTATAGGATAAATTAGTCTGTTGGCTCTCATTTGCATCAGTCTATATATCCCAGTTTCAGGCTTTCAATGTTTACCCCTCCTTCTTCTTTAATGGCGTAGACACCACTTACGCCGGAATAGCCAAGTTAAAAGCAATTCGAGACACGCACACACAAGTGCAAGTACATCCACCTGATCTCTCGAACAGAGTGGATGCCCTTTTCTGTTTCCTCGAGCGGGTACTGCGTCGAGTACTCTCAGACATTCCATTCGGACGTCATGGCCTAGCCAGCGTAGCTGCTGTTTCTTAATTCGCTTAACTATGTCAATGTCGTCGTATCTCTCGTACAACTCATCGGTCCATCGACTGCGGTATTCACTGTGGGCAATGCGCAAAGGATCATAAATCTTCATAACGGTGATAACGCCGACTTATCAGATGTTGTTATCGTCCAATCATTTGCGCCATGTATAAGGCGAGAGTTACTCTGCGTTGGATTTCGAGATTGATGACCAGGTTCCTGGTGTGTGGATGTTTACCCCTACTATAAAAAATGTAAGCATGGATACATTAACCATCGTTTTAGTCTACCATTTTAGTGTTTTTAGAGAGAGATCTACTGTTCCGGAGTGTACCCCCTTTAGAAAAGTTAACTTCCATTTTCGTAGCAAGCGGTTGTAGGAGTTCTATCATTCTGAGTATAAATATTCGATTAAGTGCTGGGAATACCGCAGTCGTAGAAAATCGCGCAACTAATGAACATACAACGAACAATACCTCCCATTGTCAGCCAAATAGGAACCCTTTTGTGGTTTATTATTGGATGCCTGATTCTCACTTGAGCTTGACGAGCGATGATCCACTTCAAGAACATCTGTAGCAGTGTATGTCTGTTTTAGAAGTTGTTGACTCTCTAGTGCCTGCGAGATTAAGATTGAAAGTCCTCATCTATAAAACCCCAAAGGGATAGCGGATAGCGGGAGTAGGAATGAAGCGCAGGAGCTGTTGTCTGTAGAAACGCTGAAGCAGAGCAGTGATAGGATCAAGGTGTATAATTGATACATGAAATCAATCACAAGAATTTTCTAGTTTCAAAAGAAATTATCTTTAACAGTCCAAATGTGATGTGATTTGCTACATTCTCCAGTCCGGCATTAAAATTCAGAGTTTAGTATAAAATGGATATAAATGGATTAATCTTATTGTGGGCCGTCGCTTCCCGCGGAGCCGTAGGCTACAATAAATATCTTCTTTGGAGTTTGGATGTTGGATGAGTTTCATGAAGCTTCTGGGTTTCGATCTACTTAAATAGTATTTTCTATTAACGGTCGCTTCCCCAGCCAGCTATGGCACATTTCCGAGTTATTTCTGCTAAAGAAAGCGTTTCGAAAGGTCAATCAAACAAGCAAATAACCTTATTTAGTGCCCAGGTCAGTTTCGAATATTTCTTCTTAATAAAAGAAATTTCCAAACAGCTTCGAAATTGAATTCGAATGTTGTTTGCGTCAAGTCTTATTAATCATGATTCAATTCAATTAAAATAGAATCTGAATTTTTTTTTAATTCGAATGAAGTAATACCCACTGCTCTAACGTTTATCTTTTAAGCACGAAAACAAAAAATATCGCATTAAATAAATGCATACCGTTATAAATAACATATAGTATATGTACATTCATATGTGAAAGTTGTCCAAAGAATTTAAATGACAATAATAAAATGGCACTTATACTTTTTTTTTTGTTTAACTCTTTATACCAGTGCTACACGTTACCAGCATACCTTAATGGATGCCGAGATGATGTTAATGTTCATATTGTTTTGGTATAAAAAACCTATGGTTCTAAGCAAAAAAGAATGTGTGAAGGAAATTCGAAATTTATGTACTATTGGAACGATTAAAAAATTATCAAAGCGAGAGAGTCTATGACCTGATATTCTATATATGTATGTAAGATATTCACTTATGTTAACACCAAATCGGAAGTCCATAATACCGAATTTCTTTCTGTAATGCCAGCAACCAGCACTCGATGACAAGCCCCTGTGCAACTGCGAGATGCTTCTAGATAGAATGCAAGAGATCTGCTTAACTACTTTCCCTGAGCAAAGCTCATCTTGCCGCAATCGTAGAAGTACGGAAAGCTAATTTTCTTCCGCCGCAACTTTACTTCGGAGCGTGCGCGCACAAACTGCATTCGGTAGAGGGTGTTCCTAGCGACTCGAGCGAGTGTTCAGTTGTCTCCGAGCACCTTGGAGGCAGGACAAACATTTTCGCGCAACGTGTTTCTTATAGTGGTGCAAGCCGAAAATTAAAAGTTCGTTAGAGCAGAGGTACGCGATTAAATTTTGTGTGAAACTCGGTAAATCGGCGACAGAGACGTTTGATATGATCAAGCAGGCTTACCCAGATGTTGCTTTAGCAAGAAGTGGTGAGTTTCGGTAGTACCAGGCCTTTTTGGAAGGCCGGGAAGAGGTCGCTGTTGAATACCGGAAAAATGAGCAACTCCAAAGTGAAAACGCTGCTCATTGTCTTTTCTGAAATCAAAAGCATCGTCTACCATGAATTTGTTACTCCTGGACAAACCGTCAACGCCAAGTTTTACATGGAAGTTCTCAAGAGACTCAAATGAAGGATTAATCGGGTCCAACAAGACATCTTAGCCGATTAGAAATTGCACCATGACAACACCCACGACAAGGATCAGAAAGAAGATCCAGTTGTGAGATTGCTGCCAGGACAGCCTTTGCCCGACACAGAACCGGAATTATATCCTACTGTGTATATAACATTTCTCCAAATTATTTAGGTCTCGTCCGTACAAGGCAACCACTTACTTTTATAATATTATGCCGTTAGCCAAGATATTCTAATTGTTTGAAAAGTAAATAATTAAAAAAAATTAATTAACAATTAGAAAGTACGATGGACTTTGCTTGGTTATGTAAGATTTCCACAAAAAACAGCTCATTTACATAATACCATTAAATGTGCATATATAGTATGTTGTTGTTGCGCTCGAATGTAATTTTTTGCCGTTATTCGAAACACGATTGATTCTTAAAAATTTCTTAATTATCTTAAAAGGAATTAGCGTGTTTATTTCGCGTAAGCGTTGCCACGCTTGCTGCTGGAGACAAAGTGGCGCAATACTTTTTATTGCTGTTGTTATTGTTATTATGGCAAAGAATCAAAAGCGTTCAAGAATTAAGGTTAACTGCTGCAGCGCAAAAAAAAAAAAAAAAAAAAAAAAAAAAAAAAAAAAAAAAAAAAAAAAAAAAAAAAAAAAAAAAAAAAAAAAAAAAAACGCGAGAATTGTGCACAAAAAACAATTATCTGTAGAAATAAAAGTGAAATAAAAAGACGCCTCAGCGGAGCGTCTGCCAACGGCCACAGGTAGACTTTGCGCAAACTCGTTAAACCCGAACGCGGCTGAGTGTCCGTCGGCCGTGCGCCGCGTCGCGTTTGTACGGCGTGTGTGCGTAGTAGGCCGCGTAAAGCGCGTTGAGGCGCCCGATGTAGTGTTTGACCGAGATTAAGCTCCGTTTATTTGGCGTAAATTGGCTTAATTAACTACGTCTGTTGTTGCTTTCTTTTAGGCTGTGCGTCTACGCCGCAGCAGGCTTCAGGGAAGAAAACAGCGAAAATGGGGAAATTAAAGCACGCATCATATAAAAGATATGCGAAAGTGAAGGTATGACTTAGTTTCACGATTCTTGTGCGTTTGAGACGACGCCGTTTGTTACGCATGCGCGGAAGGTTTTCGCACGACGGCCAAGGTTTGTTGCAAATTATTGTGCAAATTTTTACATAAATTCTTTAACATTTTTTGTAGATGTTCTTTTTCGCACTGTTACCTCTGCTCGTCGCCGGCGCGCTCACACAAACGGTACACGAACCCATGACCGAGCATATCTACTTCTATCCACGACCCGGCGATGAGGCATCACATAACATTTACGTGAAGCCTACAGATCTTATAACGCGTCATCGCTTACAGCTTGTGACGGACTGGCCTTACCCGGGCGTCATGGGTGGACACGTACACAAACCCATCGATTTGGTCGCCACGGCCGAGGTCAGCTCCCAGCCTATTTACTTCCGCAAACGCGACAATCTCGCGAATGACAAACTCAAGCAGAAACATAATATCTTATATCTACAATTGCCGATGCTAGCGCAGACCAATCTACATAATCCTAGCGAAAGTAAGAATAAAGTTTTGTAATCAAATCGAAATACATATTTTCTTAACAAAATTATATCAACTGCGTTTTTATTTCGTTATCGCTTCGTCTTTCCAAAGTACACACATATATTTATATATATATGAATATATATTATGCAATGATTTTGAAATCCTAATGACGTTTGCGATAGATGTAACCACCGTTGGCGCCATAAGCGGTATCAACACCAGAGTAAGAGGGAGCTGAGTACGAAGCGGCAGCAACTGGAGCTGAGTAAGATGCAGCTGGAGCTGAGTATGAAACGGAACGTGCTGGAGCCGAGTAAGAGGCAGCTGGAGC